CCTGCTGGGTTAGTAGTGCCACGCTTTTTAAGATCAGTAAACATTCACTAGATCATGAAATGTTCCTGAGATCATGTAATACTTATTGCTTATCTAAATGCTGCCTAAATAAGAGTGGTGGTACCTGTAGCCACTTATTCCAGCTGATGGAGATGATAAACACTGTCTGAAAGTAGATGGTATTTTTTTTTTTCCCCTATTCGTTCTCCCCCACCTCAGATTGAAAAAAAAGAGCTCTGGTTCCTCTGAACAGATTAACCAATGACCCAAACAAAATGGAATGGAGGGAGCTGGGGGTGTTTAGAGAAGAGGAGGCTGAGAGGAGACCTTATCACTCTCTACAACTACCTGAAAGGAGGGTGTAGTGAGGTGGGTGCTGGCCTCTTCTCGAAAGTAACAAGTGATAGGACAAGAGAAAATGGCCTCAAGTTGTGCCAGGGGAGGTTTAGGCTAGATATTAGATATTAGAAATTATTTAGAAGTTATTAGAAAAAATTTCTTCACTGAAAGAGTGATCAGGCATTGGGACAGGCTGCCCAGGGAGGTGGTGGAGTCACCATCCCTGGAGGTGTTCAAGAAACGTGTAGATGTGGTGCTTAGGGACATGGTTTAGTGAGTTAGGTGGTGTTGGGTTGGACTTGATGATCCTTGAGGTCTTTTCCAACCTTAATGATTCTATGAAATTTCTATGAAATTCTATGAATTTTTTTCCCTTCCTTTCAGAACCTGCTGAAGAAGCTAAGTGTCATCAAAACCAGGTTTAGAACTTAGACAAAGTGCAGTGATTACAAGGGCTTAACTTTGAGCACCTTTGTAGTTCATATGTAAAAATATTTTTGCATTTTATTTTAAAGCTTATATTAACATTTGCACTCTAAAGTATTCCACTGTTATTCAATTCTTAATTGCATTATGAATAGCTGTTTTGATTGTAATTGATTTGTAATTCCTTCCTTCTTATCCTTCCTTATGTTGGTCTTCATGACTAGCCCTTGATCAATCAGTAGTTATTGTAAAGAACTGTGGATAGTTGGACATGGTCAAGTTTACATGTCAAGTCAACCATGCATGCTCTTAGCCAGCTGTAGGTAGAACATGGGTGTGGTTTAAACCTATTTATGCATGATTATCTTCTTAGTTTCCTTCTTACAGAAGTGATTGTGGTTAATTCACCAATGTTAAACCTGAATTGTAAAGTCAAAAAGTTTCATTTAAAATTGTATTAGTGACTAAATGCAGTTACAGTGCTGAAAAGGTGGGGCTTTGTTGTAAGAGTGCACCTCCCGTCTCAGGTGAACACGTTTTAAAGCTTCTTGTACACAGGAAAGAGAAGTCTAGCATCTTTCTTTCTCTTCTCTTGGTGCTAACTGTGCAGTTATGTGTCCCTGTTCCCGCCCCAGTTCCCCCTTTTTCATTGTGTGTACTCTTCTCTCTGTTTTGGGGTAATACTTTTTTTCCTCTGGGTGAGTGAGCTGAATCAGTGTGGATCAGAGGCTGCTTAGGATGTTGATTTTTGAATTTATTTTTTTTTTAGGTGTGGGTGAAGTTTGTTACTGACCAGAAAAAAGGAAAAAGAAAAAAAAAAAAGGAATGTCTTAACATATTGAAACTGTAGTACAGAAAACCAAATCTTAATTATAAAGCATTAGTGTTGATCAATCAAGTAATGCTTTGAAATGACAAATTCCTTTTATTATGCAAGAGTTTTTCCATACCTTTGTTTTTAGTGATGTGTTAGAAGTTTTGCAGCTGTTCTGGAATAAATTGGCAGAGGTAAAATACTTGAAATTACTACTACTATCTTAAAATGTTTGTATACAATGATAGGGGTAATAGTTCTTCTGATGAAGAGTGTCAGTTGTGGGGCTGCTGTGCTCTTTAAATGCTTGATGTTCCTGCCACAGTGAAATACAGAACCACAGAATGGCTGAGATGGGAAGGGACCTTTGGAGAGCATCCAGTCCAACCCCCTGCTCCAGCGGGGTCACCTACAGCAGGTTGCTCAGGGCTGTGTCCTGTTGGGATTTGAATACCTGCAAGGATGGAGACTCCACAACCTCTCTGGGCAACCTATGGCACTGTTTCATCACCAGCACAGCAATTGTTGTTTTTTCCTTTGGGTTGCTGGTTTGTTTTGTTTTGGTTTTTGTTGGTGTTTTGTTTTGGTTTGGTTTTTTTTATGGTTAAGTGGAACTCCTTGTATTTCAGATTTTCCCGTGTCTTATACCTGAACAATATCAGAAAACACTTTCAATATGTACTGTTCATCTTTGTTACAGGTCGTATTATTAGTCTCATTTTCTGGCAGATTTAGTGTGTTGGGGGGGAAGGTGTGGTGGTTTGTGGGGTTTTTTCTAGAGTAAGTTCTTCATGTGGTTATTTTTCAGAAGGTTTTCTGAGAGTGGCACTGATATAAGTCTGAGGATTAACCATGCTCAAATATTCTATTCCAGATGAGAGCGAAGATTTCCGGAAGCTTGCAGAAAGGGAAATCACCTCTTGTGAAGAAGAGATAGCTGAACTGAAACACCAGGTTAGATCCCCTTTAAAAGCCTCTATTTCCTTGCCATTCCAGAATTGACAAAGCCATATTGTCTTCTGATCAAAATAAGATGTATGCAATAAAGTCTTCTCCTCCTCCCCTCCTTGCCTATTATACTCCTCAACTGGTGTCTGCTACCCAAGGAAAATGAAAATGCAGATGGTATAGAGACAGCCTGTAAGTGCCCACTTGTGTCTGAAATTCTTTGGATCCATAAGTCTGTATGAGTAGGGGCTATAGGTTGTCTTCTATCAAAATAAGATGTATGCAATAAAGTCTTCTCCTCCTCCCCTCCTTGCCTATTATACTCCTCAACTGGTGTCTGCTACCCAAGGAAAATGAAAATGCAGATGGTATAGAGACAGCCTGTAAGTGCCCACTTGTATCTGAAATTCTTTGTCTTCTCTGGGTGTACCTTTATGGATGCCTAGCTTTTTATCTATTGGAAACATTAAACTTGCATAGTATCACACACACTGGTGTTTTGTTAAAAAAATAGGTTAATATATGTAACTACTTTAGACTGCTACCTTATAGAGGTTCTACATAGAATCTGTTATTTAACATAAAAATAATTATCTTTACGTAAGCAAACTGTTACATATTCTTAATGTTACTGATGAAGCAGAAGCCGGTATTGTCACATTCTTTATTCTGATGATGACAATACAACAGTCACTTTATAACCATTTTTGTAAATGGTTATGATTTTGCCAAAAGAAGAAGTTGTCTGTGGAAGGAAGCATCACCCAATGCTAATAAAGGAAGATGACTGAAAAGCATTTGCAAATCGTAGGGAGTTTTGAGCCAACCTGCAAAACTGAGATACATTTTGGTTCTAGTGTATCTTTCTCCTACAGATTAGTTTAAGGCTGGCTCTCCCTTTTTAAATAAATAAATGAATACTGCAGCTGAGTTGATGAAGTACTGCGTTCCTCAACATCTATGCTTTCTTAGCTCTGCAGTCGAGACTGGGTTAAAAGCGAATCTGATGAGAAGGGAGATGCTCAGTTGTCGCAGAAACCAGCATGTATCCTGTGGTGTCCCAGCGTCGCAGGGCTCCTGATGAGTGAAAACTTCTGTGAATTTTCCTAGGTCTTGCGAGAGACCTGCGTAGCTCCTGCGGCCATGAACAGACGCAGAGAGCCTCCCTGCAATGCAGCATACCCCCACCTCTTCCTGACTGCTGCCACTTCACTGAGAGGCGCGAGAAGCCTGTCCTCTGGGCAGCCCATGAGTTAGTGCAGGAGAACACAGCTGAGATCGATTACAGACTTGTCTGGCATTTTGTACTAGCTCAGCTGTGGCTAGCAGTGTCAGAGGGAGGTCTTAGCTGGGTGTTTTTGTATTCGCAGATAGTGTTGCTTTTGGTTCCTTCAGAAGAAACAGACAAGAGTGATCTTGTCATGGAAGTAACCGCTGGAGTTGGAGGGCAGGAAGCCATGCTGTTCACTTCGGAGATATTTCATATGTATCAACGATATGCTGCCTATAAAAACTGGAAATTTGAAATATTAGAATACTTTCCCAGTGAAATAGGTCAGTAATGAAAATACCTAATCTTTGTGATTTTTAATTTAAGTTCAAACACTCATGACACTTGAATTTCATGACTACAGGAAGCTAATTTGCACTAACTTAATTTTAGAAATGGAAGATTGTTTGAATGTCTGAGTACAGTTTTCCTCAGCTTCTGTATTTGAGAATGAAATTCCATTTCAGAACTACTATTAAAATACTAAAGTACTAAAGAATAAAACTTCTCTTTCAGTAGTTTCAAAAAGCAGAAATGAAACTATGTGCTTGTTGGAATAAAATTCAGAATGTGATGCAGATATGTTGTTTTAGCTTTATTTTTTTTACAAATACATGTCACACATACTTTTTATTTGGATATGCTGTTTGACTTAGTTAATGTTTCTGGTGTTTATAAGAGGTCTGTTTATTATTGTGGATCCCTTGGCAGAAAGGGATCTGTATAATTAAAACTATTCTTGAGGTTTAATCTAAAGCATCTTAAATTTATCTGAAATAATGTCATCTGAGTATTTATGTAAGGAATTGGGATGTTTGGATATAGGTCATCTGTAACAGCTAATGGATGAGCAAAGTGAGGGAATTGTTGAGGCTTTGAGAGGAGAGGTAAGAGAGAGAATTATTTATTAGAGTCTTCAACTAAAATTTCACAGTTAATCAGTTTAATAGATTGATGTTATTGCCTGAGCAGTCCTACTTTTTTCTTTTTGTCTGTTTTGATGTCCTTTCGCTTAAACTGTCAGAGGCTTTGCTTTTCATGACTGGGATAGATATTTTCAAGTATCAAGTAACCTTTCGGTTACAACCATGTGGAAATTGACAAAAAAAAAATCCACAGCTCTCCTAATTGAGCTGCTCATGTCAGTGAGTTACTTTCACCTTCTAATGAGGGTCTTTCTGTGCCCTAAGACCCTGCTTGCATAAGTACAGTTTTTTATTCACTGTTACATGTGGAGGGATTAGAAGAAGGTTCAAAAATTGAACTCCATGGAAGAAATAGTGAGATATCACAAACTGGGAACTTGAAAATCTGGGTACAGACTTGATCTGTTGTCTGTATTCACACTTCAAAAAAGGGAGGCCCATGTCTTCACCTTGCAGATGCACAGATACAGTTGCACTTACTGTGGATTTCACTTACACTTGTGGGTTCTTAATCTTTAATAGAATTTGATTTTAAAAAGTGTAAAGTAAGTCTCTAAAATGTTGGAATAATTTTCTTTAGAGTTCTTAGTAGGTGACTTATTTCAAGTTGATGAACACGAACTCGGGTTTTCACAGGATCAGAATCTCCTGGAGTGGCTGCTGTCGATTCAATGAATACATATTTTTTATTTTAATGACACTTGAATTCAGTATTGTCTGTTATATAGATTTGTTGCTGTTAATAAACTTCTTTTATTGTCAAGAGGTTGCTTCTCCAGTAAACTGCTTGCACAGTTCAAGTGAAGGTAGGGTTGAGAAGAAGCTTCGTGTTACAGCACAGCTTGTTGCTGAAAGAAAGAAAGTCACATTTACGTTTATTCACGACCAGACAAATGCTTTGCCAGGAGCTCAGCCAGTTCAGTGGTCAAAGCTGAGAGAAATCAATGGGCTTTTTTTTTTAAGTAAATGGGATAAACACGGTGCAGGTTAGATGGGTGTAAACAGAATGGGGGAAAGGTCTGGGTCTTCTTCATTTCATATACTAGGGAGAGAGGAGAGTTGCCCTTTCCACTGAGGCAAGACTTAGATGGGGTAAACCCCAGCAGTCACAACTTCACCTTCAGAGAGCAGTTTCACAGTCAGTTTAAACGAGGGCTGTCCCACCTTCTGGTCAGCAGTATGTTCCTTCTCTCTCTCAGCTCTAGCAATTTTGAGGCTGCAGTGCTAATCCGGATCCAGTGATCGGGTTTAAAAGCTCTCTGTTATTGGGTAGTTTTAAGTCAGGTCTGACTCAATTTGCAATCCTGTGATTGGGAGAGAAGGGGAGTTGGGCTTGGCTACCCTTTTGGTGAAAGTTCAGGCCTTGGACAAGGAGCCCACACCCTCAGAGGCATTCTCCTTAATGCCTTAAATGGGAAATTGAAGTAATATGTTAACCTAGTGTGTGTGTATATATATATATATATCTTTTTCTCTTTGCCCTCAAACCCCTATTTTATCTTTGTAACTGCTAGGTTTTTAAGGGATATATATTTATTTTAAACTCTTTTGTCTTGCTGAGGGCTTGCCTGTGCACTGAAATTAATGTTTAGGAAGGTTAGGATGTAAATTTAGAGAAAAAGAAAGGCAGCCCTAGCCTTTGTCAGCCTCTTGAAGGGTTATTTTCTGATTTTACTTGCATGACCATGTATTATCAAAACTGAGGAGCTAGAAATAAATTGTGAGGTAGGGGCACTATAGATGGCACTGCCATTGAAAGGCATGTTTGAACCCTCAGGTTCAAAGTGTCTGTGCTGTGCTGTGTAAGAACGGAGTTAAGGATGCTTGCTGGTGACACTAGGCTGTTGCATCCCATCCACACTCCATTTTTATGGACTGCAGGAGCACAAGCAATGTCCTATATTAAAACGTCAAACTCCCTCATTTCAGAGAGCTCCAGAATTTTGATGAAATGTGAATGTGAGCATGCGTGAACAAGGTGAATGGTAAACAAAGCTGCAATTAAGAATTGGTTTCTGACTTTACTGATTTACCCTAAGGGATACCACTGTGAGCAAATAGCACGTTCAAGATTTAGCATGCACATTAAAGCACAAACCCTTGTGTCGTTTATCCACTGCCTCTCGCCCTGTAGTGGCAGGCAGAGACACAGATGTGGGACTTTGTCTCAATCTGGGCATAAGATGCTACATAAAAAACATGTGCACGCTCACACTCTTGTTCTGTGCACATCAGCTTTCAGGATGAAAAGGGACATTTTAATTGAAATGGCCAAGCATATAGTTACTAAGAGCTGACCATATTTCACAGTCCTACAACATGTCTGCCAGCGTAGAGGGTTTGTTGAAATTTCATTGGGTTTGTCTGCATTTCGTATTAAACCTGTGTTGGTCATAGTTAATTTGAAGCAGTGTGACCTAAATACCTATCTTTGATCCAGTTCCTTGGTCATCTCATGCTAAGCACTACGGTGCCACTGGCACAGTGTTATCACTACAGACACTCCTGAATGTGTCGCAGGTGCGCCTGCAGCTCAAGTATACCGACTGTACCGGTGGTATATGTATTAATGCCAGGAGAGGTGAGGAAGAAAAGACAGAACATTAGCTTTTGCAATGAACTGCTTATCACGTAATTAATACTTGGCAGTAATGCCTTGCGTACATTCACATTATTTTTACTCCTGACATAGCCTGGCTTCTTCCTCACGTGCGGAGGTTGCTTGTGGGTTTTTTAGTGCTTGCTTTTATATATAAAGGAGTTATTATTATTATTTAAGTTTTATTAATCAACTACCTTAATTATTTTAGGTTATATAAGATTCTTTTAGAGTAAAGAAGATATATTTTGTTCATTTGAATAGCGTTTGTGTAACAGCAGAAAGATTTCACTGTACTAAACTGAAGATTTTGACTGATATTCTTATTTGTTAAGCTACATGGTTTATGGTCAGGTTTATTCTAAACATGACGGGTTTTTCTTACACAATTGATAGTAGATAATGGCTATAAATTAAGTTGGTGAAGCACTAGGTATGTTGAACAGTGCATTTGAATCGAAGTGGTACAGTTGGTACAAGTAGGAGAAAGATTTCAAAAGTCAGAAGGACAAAAAATGAGGTGAAGGAGAAAGGAAGAGGCAGTTCAGGCTATTTTCCACAAACAGGACAGTAAGAGGAAATATGTTTTAGTGAAGTTGTGAGGGAATGTGAGAATAAAAACATTTTCAAACCCTCTCCGTGAAAAACCTGCCCAACGTTCTGGGTGATGATTTTTTCCTGCTCTGCAGGGCATTTTCAGATTCTATGTTGTCTTCATTTTCTTTTTTTTTTTTTAAAGCTGCTATCTTGTCCCTGTGTTTGATTTCCTTAGTGTAGAGATAGCCTAAAATAGTATTTCTGAGAAGCACGTGCCTCTTTTCTTCAGCTGTGGTTTCATGTTGCAAAACTTCAATAGCAATACTCTTTCAAGGCTGCCTGTCTCCTCTTTAGTCATTCCCTTGGCACACTGTCCACTGTCCTGAGAATGGGATCTGGGAACTGAGCTGGAATAAAAACCAAAATGGGTGAAAATTACATTCATTTAGAGTGCCATCACTTTTCTCTCATCCTTCAGAGAGTTATACTGGCACGAATTAAGGGCTTGCACACCAGCAAACAAGGAAGAGCAAGAATGCTGTAAACTAGTTTTGCAACTCTTTTTGTCACAAAACCGTGATTGTATTGGGCTTTACTTCCAAGTTCCAAGCTGTTCAATGCTGGTTTTCAGTATATTGCTGTCAAGTGTTTTGCTGGATGTATTGGTAAGAGAGGCAGGAGTTGGAGTTCTTCTCGCTCCAACAGAGCAAAAGGTTAAAATGAAATGAAAGAGCAAATATGAGACATGGTTAGGATGAGAATGGATAGGAGGAGGAGTATGAATAATACTCATCCTTTAGTTAAAGAGTGGGTTTTTTCCCATTGAATGAAAAGCTTCTGAACTAACGATAGAAAAAAGATGTAGTTTCTGAAGGTGGCTTTCAAAATTTAATCTTTACATACTACTGCAATTTGATCTTGAACTTACTACTGGTGTTAGAGTTCTACTAAGGTTTATGATCATATGTGTACATGTATGTATAGGGTTTGTGACAGTTTGTATAAAAAAATTAAGTTAGCCTCTATGAAAAGGAATTTGACTGTCCTTTTCTTGAGATAGTATGTATGTATGTCTGGCTTTGTTTTTAAGAGTTTTCTTGCATTGTCAATATAATTCTGCGTTGGTAAATTCATAATTTTAAGAAATAAATGGCAATGGTGTCTAAATATACTGTTTGAAATATAACAGCATGGTACCAACAGTTTTTCTTACAGCTTTACAACTGTTTTTCTTCCATATTTAAGGTGGCCTAAGACATGCAGTTGCTAGTATAGCAGGTCTTGAGGCTTACAAGTACATGAAATTTGAAGGAGGAGTGCATCGTGTTCAGCGGGTGCCAAAGACAGAAAAACAAGGACGCATTCACACCAGCACAATGACTGTTGCAATATTGCCCCAACCTACTGAGGTAATATTTATATTTCAGTGTAATGGATTTTACCATGAGCAGTGTTTTTACATGATGTATTGCTGATGCCCAAGTGTCTTCTGACTCTCTGGTTAATCTCTTTTAATGATTTTTTTTTTTTAACCTCAGTTGTAAGCTAAGTCATATTTGGTTTGGGTTTTGTTTGTTTGTTTTTTGTTTTTTTTTCCTAGGGAGATGAAATAAAGAATTTATGAATTTCTTTATAATCCTGATCTCAGGAAAGTCACTGGCAGTTTACTTCACTGTAACGTGAAAATTCACTGTGACTGTCTTGCATGTTTTGTGGAAAACTTTACATTTTTTAAAAAGTAACAGAAGACTGAATTAGTTTACGGAGCTCATAGGGATTTCTTCTAGTACCTCCTCTTCCCCATTTTTGTAGTGTCCTCACTTTCCCCTTCCCAAGTTTATGGGTGATGATTGATTCTCACCACATTTGCTTGGTTAAAAACTACTGGCTAAGAATTAAAGCTTTGTTTTGATCTTTGTTTCATGTTGACCTAGCAAATTGTCAAACGTGTTACTCCTTCCTGTTATCTCCCAAAGTTGTCTTGTTCCTTCCTTCCAGAGACCCTCTCCTCATTCCAGAGCCAACCAAGGAAAATGCTCCATTTTAGCTATAAGCCATGTGGTCAAGTTCAAATATTGGTTAACTCTGCTGGAAAAGGGTGAAGAGCTTTCAGAAGAGGGGGAAGATTTTTGCTAAGGGATGGTTATGCCTTAAGCTACTATTTGTCTGATTTCCTGTTTTCTATCATGTCACATTCCAGTCTGGCTACAAGGATTTGTTAACATGTTTAGGAGTGGATGTGAGGTACCACAGCTACGACTCATAAACTTGAAAAAGTTTGGTCTTGCCTGAATGTGCCTTATAAATAAACCAGCTGTGCGTATTTGACATCTATGTAGAAAGAAACAACATAAATAATATGGTTTGTTTTTTTTCCTGTTTCCCATGACAGATGAGGCTGCAAATTAATCCAAAAGATCTACGGATAGAAACAAAGCGAGCTAGTGGAGCTGGAGGCCAGCATGTCAATACCACAGATAGTGCCGTACGGATTGTTCATATTCCAACAGGTGCTTCATTTTTTCCCTAGTATGAGATCTACATTGCAAAACTGCTATCAGAATTTCTTTTGAAACGCTGGTTTTATTTTCAAGCCTGAACAACTGTAGAGCAGAGTTTTCGTATAGTTTTCACATGTGTTTATAGTTCTCTAAATGCACCATCTTGTGCCCGCTCCACTTTGTAATAGTGAAGACTACTGGCTTTAGGAGGTAAGCTCTCCATTTTGCCGTTGAGCACGACACTCTGAAAGCATCCAGATCATTTTCTATGAAAAAGTTATCTTTAAGCTTTCCAGTAATGGAGAATAAACTGAAAAACAGAGTAGGTTAAAATCTAATGACTAGTCTCGGAAGGAGAGATTGCTCTATTTCCATATTAAAATATTGCTTTTAAATGCAGAGTGTACTCAGGATGCCATCTTCCATTTGTCTGCTGGCTCCTTGCCCATAGATTACACACACCCTTAGGAGGCCCATCCCCAGGGCTCAGGCTAGGAACCTTAGGAGGGATAAGATACACCCTCAAACGCTACCTGGTTTTAGCTGCCGTATCTTTGTTTTATTGCCATTCCTAAGCTTTTTACTTCCCTTTGAGCAATTCACAACAGCTGCCTTGACTTTCATTGCTTTTTAACTTTTCCTCTTCTCTACCACAAGCATTAGTCAGGCTTTACAGCCTCAGGGTAATCTCGAGTGCTCTTTATCCTCACGTATCCAGATTTTTGCTACTCATTTCTTCATATTTATTGAAGACATGAATCCATTCTGCTCTTGTTCCATCACCTCAGTAAAGCAGGAGGTAAACAGTGAACAGAATTCCGTTCAAGATATGATGACAGAAGGGTAGTCTAGATTCAAAAAGTTTTTGATTGCCTGCATGTTTGGAAAAAAGAAAGCCACAAATTTAACTCAGCAAATTATCTCATTTTTTGCTGCAGGCAGTTATTAGTGTTTGTTATAGTAATCTTAAATGCATTGCAAATTTTTTTGAGGTTATGCACTAGAGATGGTTCATAGGTGGTTTTATATCTCACCTTATCTTCTGACGTTTTCCTGTTCCACCTTTCCCTTCTTCATTCCTCTTGATCTCTCTTCCTTTAGTTGTCCTGTTACTTCTGTTTCTCTCATCCTAACCATTTATAAACCTTCATTGTGACCTAAAACGTTGTTTGTAAAGAAGTCTTGCATAAAGCAATGCTATGTAATCTTATAAAAGCATACTGTAATATTACCAGAGTTACTTAAATAAATCCAAATAGCAACTTAGCTTATGGTGTCTTCTTCCTGTATTTTTTTCCCTGCTCTTTTCTTAGGCTGTTCGCTTCTCATCTTAACTTGAATTGCATGTTTTTGGGGAGAGAAATCACACCTTTTTTTTTTAAGAAAATAGTGCCCACTTTTGTATACTCTGATCATATTCTATATACTCACTATCTCATGTTATTTTGCTGCTCCTTAAATCCTAAATTTCATGGAACTGCGGCCAAAAATTACAAGTATTAAAGGTGTCGTCTGTAAGTCAGATCACTTCACAAGTCTTTTATTTCATTGCCTAGCTGTTGTCCAACATATCAAATTAAATTTCTTGTCTTATGGCTTAAAGCACCTGTACAACTCAGCCTGCACTTCTCTCCCAAAGTGTATCGTTAGATATTAATAAGCCTGGACTTTTACATTGCCAGTCCAAAATATGTATTGAAGAAAGAAATAGCTTATCATAACGTAATAAAAATCTTCTAGAAATTGCAAAAATCTTTTAGTGTGTGTTACTGTTAAGTGTTACATTTCGTGATATTTTTGGCAGGGATCACATCTGAATGTCAGCAAGAAAGATCTCAAATTAGAAACAAAGAGAAGGCTATGCAAATGCTATGTGCTAAACTATACAACGCCAAACTGGAAGAAGAAACCAAAAAGAGAAACAGTGTTCGAAAGATTCAAGTAAGTTTCACTTAGTCAAGTATAATTCTGTATGAGCATATGTTCTTGGGGTAACTCCTGTGTTGAACTGCAAATACTAAATGGAAATATAGAGGAACAGGAGCCCAGGAGGGACTTACACAAGGCAAAAAAAAAAAAAAAAAAAAAAAAGTTGAGCAATAAAGGTCATATGTTAGCCAGACTTAAAATTTCAGTAGTATGTAAATTCTAGAGATCTAGTGAAACAAACTGGATTAGTGCAGGAAGAACCAGAACAGTATTAGAAAAAGATACAGTAAAATTGTTCTTTTACATGTTTGAGAACAAATATTGTAACTACTGAATTGGTCTAAGCACTATGTAACTATAAAAAATTTTGGATAATCGTGGGAGGAAGAGAAAGCTTTTGCTTTTGATGCCTAATCAATATTTCATCCTTTTTTAAAAAAGATGATAAACTGATTCTTCCTGTTTGATAGATGGGGACTAAAGGAAGATCAGAGAAGATCAGAACATACAACTTTCCACAGGACCGGATTACTGACCACAGGATAAGTAGATCAGTGCATCACATTGAGTGTTTCATGCTGGGGGAAGAAATGCTAGATGAAATGATACAAACTCTGAGAGAATATGCTGATTATGAATCCTTAATGGAAATTATTTCAGAAAATGAAAAAAGGAATCTATCCTGAACGTTGCTTTTTGTCAGCCCATTACAACAGATGTAGACATTTGTCTGCAAAGGAGCTTTGCGGAGCCGCACCCAGAAAATGCAACTGCTTTTCAGGTCATGAAAGACACCACAGCTTGTTCCCTCATACTGATAAACAGTTTTCTTACTTGCTGAGTAAAGGACTTTATTGCCTTTTCTATGAGACGTTATTGCTGCAGCAGTCCACTTAAAAAGTAAATTTGTCTGGGCAAGAAGAAAGTTGTTAACTTTCTCCACTGAGAAGATACCGATACACCACTCTTGAAAGGTACGCATTAAAAAATGAGCTATTTCTAGTTCCAGTTGTCATTTAAATAATAGTTTAAATTTCAGTACAGTGTCAAGTAGCTTACTTGAGAGAACAAAAAATCCTATTTTGATTGATTATCGGAAGAAAGTGATAAATAAATGACCCCACTACTAATCTGCATACTTGTTAATCACTTTACATGTGGCATGGGAGAAGGAGTCAAAGTGTATGTCTTCATGGCCTTCTGGCCCTTATTAATAAACACCAAAAATTGTTTAGGAATATCTCTTGTTCCAGAAAAAAATCTGTGAAGCCAAGTGACAAGTTATGTGAGCTGATTTTTGAAAATAATGTTTCTGTTCTTGAGTCAAAAGTGAAGAGAATCGTTACAATATTGTTTGGCTCATATTTCAGTCTCCATTTGGCTTCAGTTCAGTTTCTCCTTTATGTTTATAATTAGCTCTCCAGTTTATTGATGATCTTCTAAGGGTTATGTAGCATGAAGAGCATCTTATCCTTTTGCCTTTATAATCCACTGATGTACATGCACATGTTTATATCTGTGGGTAAAGAAGACTTTTATTTTAAACTACATTTTACAATCCTGAGTACATATAGCAATACAAAATCTGCAGCTTCCATGCCACATTATCCCATCATGCATTTTATGTATGTATGTGTGTATACACACACAGAATGTATTTGACATATAAACAGCAGTAAATAAGAAATTGGAACCTAAGGAAAAATGTTACCATGAATATAGGGGTGTTTACTTTCAGACTAGACTAGGTAAGTTTGCTACAGATGGCTTATAGAAATGCATTATTTAAACATCCTATATGAAAATCGACTGATTATTATCCGTCAATCGTTTATTACATTTGAGACTGCAGTTGGAACCGATCATTTAATACCCTTATCAGCTTTGTTTTCTAGGAAATACTACATGGTAACTACGATTAGGTTCCAAATCTTGTAATTAAAGATGCATACATTAACTTCAGCTGTAGGAGTGCCTGTGTGCACACGTATGTCCTGTTGGTAAGCGTGAGACTTAGGTCTGGATTTACTACCAGATTTACAACTCCCGACTGGCACATAAGAAAGTAAAAACAAACATTGGTGCATTTTGTGTGTAAAATAACTGGATATTGATTGGAGCAGAAACTAAACAGAAGACTACGGAGCACTTGTGACAGTCTTCTTGACTTCACTTGAAGCCAGGCTGTCTTATACCAAGCGATGGATGGAGTTTGCTATTCCTTCTCCCTAATGTCAGCTTCGTATTCCTCCAGACATATAAGGGCCGTTAGCCAGGTCTAGGCCCTGGATTGCTGTATGAAACTTCTGTAAGCGTTCGGGTCTTTGTCACCCCAGACCTTCCCTGATGTCCCAGCAGGTGGCCAGGCTGGCCAGAGCTGTCTCCTGGGCAGAGACTGGATGTGTTGCAGCACCCAGCCTCTGATCAGTGCGAGAAAAGCCAGATACCGCGTGGTTCTGGCAGGAGCCTGACAGAGGTGTTCCCTAAGTGCCATCTGACAGTGTCACACAAGGGGGACTGCGCTGTCTCGAGCGGTACCTCCTTAGCCTGTCAGGGCAAGCGTTACTACGTGGAGAACTCCCTTTCTCCCATTATAAAATCAGCGCATCTGTTTACAAAAGCAAACTCATATTAGGCGGGCGCCAAGCAGCGCTTAGGCGTGTGCCGCC